TAAATTATATTGCACTCTAACTTGATTGAAAAATGTATAACATTAAATGTTATTAGCTATTTTTGCACCTTTAAGTTATAGACTGAAGGTATTTTACAATTAAAAAAAATTAATATTGTTGTGACCAAAAAATTATTAGTAATACTGTAATCTCACATTTGGTGGTCAACTTAATACAATTTATAATACTCATATTTAAAAATAATGAAACTTAACAATAGTATTTTAGTTTATTAAAATAATATGYGTTTATGTAAAAGGACTTTTCAAGCTCTTTAATTTTAAAGTTGGGATTTATTTATTAGAACTAAGTATTAAGAGTTCTCAATAAACTTATTGATTTATAATTAATATTTAGCAATCTATTTTCAAAAAATACTAGTAATTTGTTTTTATTTACACTGCCTTTAGTTCACTGCCTTAGTATCTAAATAATGGTAGGCATTTAATTTTTATTTATTTATAGACCAAAAAAATCACCTTAAAAATATATATATATTTTTTTTTTATGTTATATTATGTGATGTATATATTATATTATTATAATATTAGAAATTAAAGCGTATTGATTGTAATAGAACTTTTATTATTCTTACAAAAAAGTAATGTAATACATTTTATCCAATCTTAATAGTATGTACAAATATAATATCAATATATTGTAATTTATATTATATTATAAAAAATATTATATTTGTGGGTTTCACATCATATTATGGAAATTTATTTGTTTAAAAATTTGGTATGAAAAATAGAACTTATTCAAAAAGTACTATGATTTAACTGTAATAGAATACAAATTATCTTATATTATGTATTTTATGCCCAAATTAAACAATTTTTCTTTGTAGGTTGCAATAAATTTGTGTTCCATTTTTGTGATTATTATTAATCTTTCATCATATTAKAAAATCTTGTTGTTTCCTTCACGTCTCTTAAAACTGTATTGGCCTGGAGACATCATCAATACTAACAAAAAAATACATTTATACCTAAAAAATTAATTCTAATTTTGAATTTGTATCATTGGACTTTCTTCATACAAACATAAAATGTCTATTTACTAATTATTCTCTTTAATATAACTTTTACTTATTGTGTTGTATATAATGTCTATTTCATGTGATAAGTGACCAAGATAAAATTTCTATTTTTTCAATTCATCACTTTTTTTATGTTGACCAATATATTGTGATGTAGTTGTGAAAAAATTTACCKAGCGATTAAATAATTGTCTTCACTCTTCAGATATTTTTAATTTACAGGATATTAAATCACATTTTGATGAACATCAATTATTTGTGCTTAAAAAACATTTATTTCATTTTYAGAATATAGGAAAAATGTTTTTAATTTTTTCATAACATTAAAGTGTAATAATTTGACTAAAAAAAAAAAGCATGTGGACCTCACTCATAAATATCTATGGTCGAAAAACTACAAATACCTTTTTTCGTCATACTGACTAAGCTGATCTACTAAGTTTTCCAT